ATTTATATCTCAGAGGCTACTTCGTTTATCCTCACCTGTTATTGCCGAGCCGGTTACCCGTTTAATCAATTATTTTATTACCAATCGTCAATGGCCAATAGTTTGGAAAAGCAGTGACGTTGTTCCTGTTTTCAAGAAGGAAAGTATGACGGATAAGACCTGCTATCGTCCAGTTTCTGTTCTGACTTCCTTATCGAAATTATATGAGAAGGTATTGTTCGATCAAATCTATGAAGCCTTTCATTGGCGACTCTCACCGAACCTGTCTGGCTTTCTCAAGGGTCACTCGTGTTGCACGGCCTTATTGAAATTGACTGAAGATTGGAGAGCCTGTCTTGACAGAAGAGAAGCTGTTGCAGCGGTGGCTATCGACTTAAGTAAAGCTTTTGACTCTGTTTGTCACCCGCTTCTCCTGGCTAAATTAAAGCCATATGGCTTTACGTATGATGCGCTGGAAATTATGACCACTTACCTTATCGGACGGAGACAGAGGGTCAAACTTGATGGTGTATATTCTTCGTGGAGAACCGTTAAAACTGGTGTACCACAGGGGTCCCTGTTGGGTTCACTCTTATTTAATTTGTATGTTAATGATCTTAATTATTTTATTACTAATACGTCCTTGAGGCTATACGCTGACGACTCTACTCATTACGTCTCTGATGTCTCACCAACAGTCTTGCCGTATATAATTAACTCTGATCTTAGCGTTCTGTCGAGATGGTTCTCAATGAATTTTTTACAGATTAATGCCGCCAAAACGCAAGCTATCGCTATTGGCCCATCTACATACCAGTATCATTTCCATCTTAATGATTCTAATGTCCATACAAAGGATACACTCAAAATCCTAGGGGTGGTCCTAGATAGCAAATTAACATTTAAAGCGCACATAAAGCAACAGCTGAATATGGGATGCGCAAAGGCTTCGGCTTTGCGGAGAATACGTCAGTTTATTTCTAAGGACGTGTTAGTTCGTTTATACAAGGCCTATGTTCTCCCTCATCTTGAGTACTGCAGTCCCCTTTTACAGGGAGTAGGTAACGCGGAGACTACTAAAATAAACACAACTAATTACTTTATATTAACAACTATATTAGGCTCCTCGAAGTCTGTGTCATACGACTTCCTCTTCAAGTTGGTCGACATTAAGTCCTTGGAGAGTCGTAGGCAGTTTGTTATGTTATATAAGTTCTCGGATGATAAGGAGGCACCTTATATAAGTGATTTTTTTAATTTTAGAAATGTACCGTATACTTTACTTGGGCTCAGTACAAGGCTAGATTTACCTCCTTTTAATCTTGCGTTTTTACATCGGTCATTTTCACTTTTAGCCGGTAAACTCTGGAATGCGCTATCCCCAAAACGCAGAGAGTCTCAAGATAATTATTGTTTCATTCAAGCGTTCTCTTAAAGCCCACATGGCTTAGCGGCAGTGATTATAAATATTGTTAGTGTTAATATTGTTAATATTGTAAATTTTTGTTGATAGCTCTTGTCTATGATCTTCGATCCTGTTTTTAGCTATTTAATAGATCTACTTATTACATGTATTCCTACAGAAATTGTTTTCTCTCTAATTGTACATACACGTACACGTTTTAACGAGATCTTCTGTACTCCTAGGTGTCACGTGTTTAAATAAAGGATTGATTGATTTATTGATTGATTGATTTATTGATTTAACACCTCATATCTTCGCGCGATCGGTGACAGGAAGCTCGTGACCATCTACCTTGAGAGGGGAGAAGTTATGAGGGTTCTTCTTGAAGTCAATAATCATCTTCTTGTATTAATTATCTGCTAAAGAAAGGTAAACTTGGAGCGGATCCATCGAAAATATCGAAATAATCAGGAACACTAACAAGAAGCTAGCCCATTGTAATGCTTAAACGGATGACTGAAACAAGTATTACATTGACAAATTCGACTGCAAGCTATGTTTTTTACATGTGCGAATGCTCTGCATTTTAAACATAGTTAGGCAACGATACTCTGAAAGTTGATTTCAAAGGTGAATTAACTAACCAAAGGCAAATAAAACGTTTAAGAAAATCATCTTGATCTTGTTCGTTGTGGAAGGCTGCTATCTGCTAAGTGTCGGACCCTAAATAATGCTGCGAGTCGCTTCACACGTGAGATCCTTGTTTAAAACACAAAGGTTTCTGGGATCACCACGTAGCTAACATCGAATAAAATCAGTTCCTGGAAGATAATATACGGCAAAGGGTTGTTTTAATGTCCGAGAAAACTGTTTTTGGGAGAAAGCACTTTTTCGCCACAGAGGAATGTAGATGGACTTTGTCGATGTTGATGCGTACTCAGCTGCTACACCGTTCATGATCGCCGAATGGATCATGGCAGAAAGTGTGTAGGGCCAACACAATAGAAACCATCTCGACTTTCCCGTAAACCAATCTGGGATCTCTTCGATTTTAATCTCTCATTTGTTTTCAAGCGGTGTAAACCAGTGTTTGAATTCTGAAAATTGGACGCTTTTACGGCACAAAACAGCAATACACTGAAAGTTGATTGTAAATGTAAATTAACTCACCTAAGGCAAATAAAATGTTAAAGAAGATCATCGTGAGCCTGTTTGATGTTCAAAGGAACTCCGCTCAGACTGTTTTGTAATGCAATAACATTTTCAGTCTACTTTCTCGTCAATTAGTTGACGAGACGAAATCATGATTACCCTCTTCCACACTCTCCAACACAAAGACAGACAAACGAGACGGCGAATCAGCTTGGGATCTTTTACCAGGAAATGAATAGCTTATGAGAGGTCAAGGAAAGCTTACCGGGTGGGAAGGAGTGTAAAAAAAAATTTCAGATTAACTATTAATAGGACAGAGGAAGTCGAACCCCCCAAGGTTGTCTTGAGGGGGGGGAGGTTAAAGCAATGTAAATTTACAGCGTTTCGTTATGGAAAAGAACTTATTAAGGAAAACAACCACAGAAACTGTAAGTCTGTTCAAAATTGCTGAGTTTTATTCCCCTTTTGCCTAGTTGGGGTATCTGGAACAAATTTCATTTGTTTCAAGCTCAACTCTGCGCAACAGTCTGCGGACTATTCGTGCAGAGGAGAGAATTGAAAAGGACTAAAATGCTACCTACAGAATCCTCAATTGTTTTTTTTAAGTTTCATGGCCCGTTATGACTGATTGTGAAGTTTGGGATAAAGAAGCATGGTCGAGCAGGATTTTGGAAAACGTTCGGCAAAAAAAATCCAAGAGTTCAACAGTTTTAAATACAAAAATTGTTTCAAGAATGACTTATTTTGAATAAAATGATATCTTGAACTGTTATTAGTGGGAAAGGGAACTCAATATGATACCTATACACTAGATTTGATAAAGGGAACGAGAAATGTTACTATCGTCATCTAAATGATGGCTGTTTTAAAACAAAATCCGTGACTTTCTGCAGTAGTTCTATTATGGGACTTGTCAGGGGAAACTTGGTGGAAAGTTTCTTCTTTACCACTGGCTTTCTGATGTAATATCTGCAACATTTATGAGACAAGAAAAAATATTGATGGCAATAATTCAACAGAAATTTGAAGGTTCACCTGTCTAATTTGCCCTTTCATTTCTTCTGCCCCTCATCATTAACTCTACGACAGTAGTTTAAATGTTCATCATTTATGGTTGGTGGCGTTACAGAAAAAATCTTCTTGAACTAATTTTTTGTTTTAGTTTTTGTTTTGTTCTGTTTTTTCTTTTGTTATTGTTTTCTTCAGTTTTCATTTTCATCTACTCTTTTTAAGGTTGTTTTTTTTCAATCAAAGACAATTAAGTAAGGTTTGATTACTCCCCGTCCCATAGGTCCCCACTGATAAACCCTTCAATAATTCCACTGCCCTCGTCTGCAAGCCTTTGAAATTAACGAACCTTCCAGGGTATCTTGAAACGCTTACTATAAGCTATCAAATATTAGAACTGCAAGAACAATCGAAGGAAAAATGGCATAAAAGAATCGCTCTATATTCATTCGCAATACTACAAAAAAGGCCTTGTCAACAAAAAATGGCCAAACAAAACTCGCTTGATCAGAAATTAAAAGCAAACTCAACTGCACCAGTGACTACGAACAGTCCCAGCTTTTTTGGCAAAGTCCGTCACGCGATTGTCTAAAAAAAAACATCCACTCGGGTCTCCATTAGTTTTTTTTCCCCAAGTGCCCCATACTTCACCGAAAATGGCGGACTGCTCATAGTCTACTGCACTATCATACCTAAATTCTTCTGCATATCCAACTCGGATTTGATTCTCAACCACTGCACCATATTCCAGAAAATTCTTGAGCACGTAAAGTTGTCGGTAAAGAAGAACAGCTTCGGCAGGAGACAGATATCCACAAGAAGATAATACTAATAACGTTAAACGTTCCATGATCCTCTGTACGAAACATATCTGAAAATGGAACGAAAAATATCAACATTTGATTGTGAGACACTGTCGTTGTCGACAGACACAGATTGACCAAATGATCAAAGTTTGAATTAATAGGCGCTGCATGTCAATCACCGCCGTAAAGAAGGAAAACTGTTTTTTCGCACGTTCCGAAGAGAGCGGGTGGGAGTTGAGGAAAAATGCCTTTCGCCATCTTGAAACGAATTACAATTTTATAAACTTTAAAATCTCTTTGGTTCTATAATGCCTGGAATGAGCAATCTTTTCTGAATGTTTGCTTCTATTTTGCCTCAACCCTTTGACTGCCATGAGTGACCAAGACAGAATTTCTCCTTACAATATCAATACAACATCAAGCAGAAAAGTGATGAGAATAAAGAAAAATAGGCCCGCAATGTGTACATGTGTGGCTTACAAAATTCAGCTGCTTTTTAGTGTCTGGCGTCATAAAGAGTTTCTTCTAGAAGAGCTAATACTTGATTATGGCTAGATAGTTTTCAATATTGTACCTGATCATGAATAAAACAAGATGACTTGTAGTCGAGGAGTGTTGTGTGTAGTCGACGAGTGTTGTGCATACCGAATGGTCATCCAATGGTCATACACTAATTCTATCACATGACCAGTAGGCGTTGAGATCCCATGAGATGGAACGGCACTTGCGCAAGTCATTGCACATGTTGCGCTTTGAGCGTCAAGTCGTCTTTACAACGCTCCTACGATACCTTCCAGGACAATAACCCTGGGTCAGTCTAACGCGGTTAGCATGTCAAGAGACCAAGCGGGTCCCACGTAGTCGTACCCTACTCTAAAACACGATCCTAACGCGGTTAAGTCTTCGTATCACTATGTCAGCCCACGAGCTTGACAAGGTTAACAAGCATACTGAACGCTCGCTGGTGGATACACCAGAACCAGCGTCATCACAGATGACCCATATGTTTACACCTCTCTTAGGAGAGATGAAAACGATGAATGCCAACTTCAGCTTTTGTGCAAGAGAAGAGGGCTCAGAAGTAAGTGAGTCAGAGGACAATGATGACGCGGATCCCACTGTACTTACTGGGGCTGTTAGTGACCTACAAACCAGGGACGACACCGAAGACTCCTTAAGACAGCTAATTGCCTCAGCGAGCGGCCCTTCTGAAGGTGCCAATATAAGCAACGACGTTTTGAAAGACATCGCACAAGATCTAAACGCGAAGGAAACAACCGAGCCGGCTATTCACGAGGAGCTGGCAAAAATATTTCAAACTCCACTAAACGAAAAAATGTCTGATGAGAAATTCAAAAGCAAAGTGGAAAATATGTGCGACCAGAAACTGTGGAGTTAAGGGTTCCTAAAGTCAAACCGCTAAAATGGAACCAACTGGCGTCAAATACCCGCGTGCAAGACGTGCGCTAACAGATGTCACAAAACGCCCTTGTTGGAGCACTCATCGCCAGTGTTAAGGCCACACATACAGCTTTAACAAAACACGGGGATGATCGAGAGCTGCTTACGCTCTTAACTGATAGCGTGGGCATGGGCCGACAGTTTTACCAAGACGTCAACCAGTCTAGAAGAGTCGCCATGAAACAAGATCCGCACAAAGACTACACGAGTTTGTGCAACGTGACCCAAGTGGCGGAGAGCACAGAATTCTTTTTTGGTGACTGTAAAAATTGTCTAAAGACATTGCCGACGCAAATAAGCTGACCAAACGTGTGAAACCAACATCGACATGGAGTTCTGAAAAACCTCTAAGGGGCTCAACTGGTAATGGTTACGGAAGATCTCAGCCCTGCTACAAACACCGAAAAACGGCTGATTTTTTAGGCTGAGATCCCTGGAAAAACAAAAGGAAAACAGAGGGAAAACCAAGCCATCATTAACTACTGGGGCATGTCATACAAGTATAAATAGTACACAGCCTGATGACCTTGTCACAAATTTACTCAGGCCAGCTGATTTCAAAGCTGGTAGACTCAAAGATTATATTACGCAGTGGTCAAAATTGAGTAATGACTTTTCTATCTTAAACATTGTCAAGGGAGTTAAAATAAAGTTCATTGCTAATTCAACACCTTAGCAATTAAACATTAGGCCCAGTGTGTTTAATAGTGTGGAACACCCTATTGTCCAAGAGGAAATTGCCAAGTTGTCATCCAAAGGTATTATTGTCCCTTCATTGAATGAACCAAATGACTGTTTCCACAATATTCTTACGACCTAAAAAAGATGGTACCCATCGCACAATACTTAACTTTAAACAGTTTAACGAGTTCGTCCTATACAGGCATTTTAAGATGAACACATTAGAAAATGCTATCCATTTAAGGAAGCTGGGATGTTATATAGACCACTTTCATAAATGGCTGCCGGATTAATATTCTTTTGTTTAAATTTAAATTAGCCCCACTGGCCTCTTTCTCCAGTACAAAATTCAAAAGAACACATTATCTCAAGCAAGAACAGTAGGGCTAATTTTGATTTAAACAAAAGAATATTTATACCGCAGCCATTTATGAAAGTGGTCTATGGCTACGGTGGACCTTAAGGACGCGTATTATACAGTACCAGTTCATCCTTCCCACCAGAAATACTTCCAATTTTGGTTTGAGGGGAAATTTTATCGGCATACTTGTTTTCCCAATGGTTTGGCCAGCACACCCCACTTATCTACAAAACAATTAAAACCTGTCTACTCTACACTACGCAGTATGGGGCACATTAGCTCTGCATATTTTAGTGTTTGTGTAATAGTATCGGTGATGACGTAATCTAATTAGCATGAAGCACGTGAAGGAGGTTGTGTAATGTATATAGAAGAGTGTGCGAGTGAATAAAGGTGTGTTGCAATGCGGATTCCGTGTGCTCTTTAAGTTCCCTACAAGATACTAAACATATAATTATATTGATGACACTTATCCCCAAGGAGACACTTATGATGAATGCCGCAAGAATGTTATTAACACTGCTACTCTTTTCACAAAACTAGGGTTCTGCGCACATCCAGTTAAGTCAGTGTTCTACCCTACTCAGCGATTGACATTTTTAGGGTTTATATTTGACTCAGTCAAGATGATTGTAGAACCTACTGACGAGAAGAAAGATATACCAGTATCGACATGTTCAGTGTTTGTCAATAACAAAGCAACCACATACATACATACATACATACATACATACATACTCATACTTTATTGACTTTCCCCAAGGGGGCTTTTTAAAGACAATGTTATAAAAATAATCCATTTACAATTAAAAAATCCTATTTACAATTAAAGATGTTTTAAAATCTGAATGTTCTAAAAGAAAAATAAAAGTATACAAATATACAAATAAAATTACAACTCTTTGAGTAATTTGGTACTTAAACGTTTTTTAAAAAAATTAATGGAGTTACACAGTTTAGAGGAATTATCAAAAGAGTTCCATAAGTTTACAGTTGTATAGAAAAATGTTCTCTGACCGCTAGCTGTTCTAAAGAATGGAATTTGCAAAAGCTGCGAATTTCTGCGTTAACTAACCTCAGCTCGCTTAATGAATTTTGATTAGAGGTAATCTGGAGCCTGACCAGACATGCATCTAAAGGCCATAGTCGCGTTCCGGTAGTAAAGCTGGCTTTGAACTGAAAGCCAATTTAGTTCGTTGCGAATTGGTGTAACGTGGTCAAATTTACGCGCACCGCTAACAATGCGGCATGCGAGGTTCTGCACCGCCTGTAACTTGTTAACATTACATTTCGAGGTATTTGACCAAACATTGGAACAATAAAACAACCTGCTGAAAACTAAGGAATTAATAATCATCAAAAGTGTACGTTTGACGAAACATGCTTGACACGGTTTATTTGGCCAAGGTGGGACACCCACGAGGAAGCGGTCTTAATTATGTGTTCATCGTAAGTTAAATTAGAATCCAAAATCAACCACCATTTGACAAGAGGCCAAATGAATTGCTGTATTAGTGTCTAATTTCCCAGATGCGCGGTATGGACCGCTACATTATCGTAACCTTGAATGCCAAAAATATTCGGCTCTTCTCAATAGTAAAGGAGACTCTGCGGCCCATATGCAATTATCGTCGGACGCTTTGTTAGAAGTGAAATGGTGGATTGATAATGCTCGCACATTACAAAGGGACATTGTTTATTACAACCCTAACATTGTTATCCAATCAGATGCATCTAATGCGGGCTGGGGTACGGTGGAGAAAGAAAAGCGGGGGGGGGGGAATAATTTCTACCTTTCTATAACATCAAGAAATGGTGAGCTATTCTAGTCTTCTAAGATAGGGACAAATAAATGGAGACCCCGTCTCCTGCAGGGTTGGGGGTGGGAGACATTAATTTATTTTATTAGCTTCGCCAACAGACAGGCACACTGCAACAGCTTGCGTAAATTACAGCGGGCCCAGTAAACCCACCCATCCCACCCAGGGGAGGACATCCATCACACAGTAGTCTCGTGTGTGGGAAATTAACTTCTCCTATCCCTAACCCTGCAGGAGACGTGACCTCCATTTATTCGTCCCTATCCAAGAAGACTAGAATATCTAACCATTTCTTGATGTTATAGAAAAGCAGAATATTCTTCTCAATCATTTTAAGACCGTGAGTGTTGGTTCAGCTGGGGCTCGAACCCTCGACATCCCGCACAACAGTCCAGCGCTCTATCGATTGAGCTAAGCGGGAGATTACTGTGTGATAGATGTCCTCCCCTGGGGTGGGATGGTGGGATGTACAGGCCCCCATTTAAACCAGCCTCAAGCTGAACTGGGCTGGCCTGTCTAAATATCGTAAATACATACATACATACCTACAAGTGAAATACTTACTGTTTGTTCTTGGGCTTCGACAATCTTCATGAGCCAAAAAATGTTTAGGACTTTGTCTTCTACTGAAAAGCAGTTGGCCTGAAATAACAAGAAACTTAATCTCATAAAGTTATCATAAACTCAGTCCAGTCACTAAGCAATTGCTCACTGTAATAAGAATGTAAGGATAAGTTGCAACGTCAACCCTGCATCAAAGTT